ATGCAAGTCTGGAAGATAACGTTCTATGTAGTCAACATAAGTAATAGCTTGGTGCATTTGATATAATTCTAAACATAAATAAAGCCAACACGTTTTCAATTATGTAAAACTGTTCCTAAAGACGTTCTCCAAAATGTTGAATTTTGAAACGCATCCACCATTTTAAAAGTTCTCAGATTCCATGGGAAGGGATTGCTGGGCTTGTTTAGGTCAATGTAAAATAATGTTACTGTTAAAAGTGACAGCAATTTTGGAGTTCTGTCTACCAACTATTTAAATTCTTAACTTGATGGTATTTTCCGTTGAGAATTCTTGCAGCATTGATGAACTGCAATGAATAATCTCAAAACTTCCATTGTAACGAGTATTTATTGTATATATTGCATTGAATTCAATGGAAATTTGTAATTAACCTTTGACTTGATAATTAATCTCTGACCGATTGAGCAAGCAAGAAATTTGTCAAATTTTGTCAAATGGAGATAGTTATGCTCACAAATTGAGTTAAAATTTCCTGATCAAAATTATCAGTCCAACTTGCTATCCACCCAATAATTCATTGACACGTTACTTCAAATTAACATGTTTAACTTTTCTCTCACTCCACTTGTGCTTAAAAATAACTATAAAATGATGTATCAATTAATTATTGGTGGACAAAAGGTTGTATAAACAAATTTGGATAGCACGTCTCAATTCAAATTAGTATGAGTTGTAATATTAATGAACTGATAGATATAAAATTTGATGAATCATCTTTAATGTCATATATTATTTTTCAAAATAGTTAAAACGATTCATATTATTGTGAGTTGTAAAATTTAAATTCGAGAAATTTTCTAGAATCTGTTTGGGCAAATAAGTTAAGATCTTGTGATTATATTTTAAAGAATTTTTCCTAGCCGAGTTCACTGAACCCGACCAAATGTCTCACAAAGGGTGGGCCCCACCTGAATAAAAAAAGGCCAAACATTAACCCACTCAAACCCCCTCCCTACCAATTGTGTGTGTCTTGTAAAGCTCCTGTGAAGGTACCTCTTGTACGTCAAGTGGGGTTGTATTTCAAAATAGCTGAAGCAATTCACATTATTTTGAGGTTTAAAATTTAAGGCCTAAGATATTATAAGCAAAAATTTCCAAAACTCATGAAACATTTCCAAAATAGTTGAAGTTCTCTGGATTATTATTGAGTCCTATAATTGACTTTTCAAGATTTATTTGGTTGGTGAAGATAAGATTTTATGTCAACTTAAACATATATTACAATACAAAATAGTTGAAATATCACTACTAAAAAACATGGCTTCAGGCACGGATTTTTCGTTTCTAAAGTCACGATATTCGTTGCTACTAGTCTTTACCAACGGAAAAATATCGACTGAAATTCCATTGCTATTTTAAGGGTTGCTGATAGTGTATTAGATTTACCAACAGGATTTCCGTTTGTGAATGTTTTCCGATTACCAACGAAAAGTCCGTTGGTAAAAACCTTGTCATTTCCAAGAGAAATTCCGTTCGTAAAAACCCCATCATTTCCAACAAAAATTCTGTTCGTAACAGTCTTTTATTGAAGTTGGTAAAACTTTCTAATTACCAACGGAAATTTCGTTGGTAAAACTCTTTTCATTACCAACGAAATGTCCGTTGGTAAAGACTTTATAATTGCCAACGGAGATTCCGTTGGTAAAAAGTCTTCATTACCAATGGAAATTCGTTGATGAAAACATTATCCTAATTAGTAAAATATGGATACCACCAACTGAATAATTGACCAACGAACGATCCATTGCTAAAATTATATTCTTATACTTCAATACCAATGGAAAATCTGTTGAAGAATCTTAACTTATTATTTTTTTATTAAAAATAATTAAAAATTTATACAACCCACTAATTATTAATTTTAAAATGCATTAAATAGTCAAATTATTCAAAACACACTAAAGCTTTAATAGATTAAATTATTACATCGAAATTCCGAATTTCAAATATCATGTCTCACATATCATCATTTCGTGATCTTGAGCTAGAAGGAAATTGTAAATTAGGAATATTTAGTTCCTTGAGCATGCTTCGCACTGTTTCTCGCATCTCAATCTCGTGATTTCTTTTAACTCTTTCAAGACGTATAGTGAGATAATCAATCCTTTCGTTGTTCTCGTCTATTGTATTTCATGCAATTGCTAGTTCTGACTTCAAATTATTCACCTATTCATCACGTGCAAGTATTGAACGTCTAGGTGAAGTAGGTGTACCAAGAACAAATGAAGCAGGTTGTCTAGGACAAAACCCATAAACACGACCTTTAGATGGACCGTTGACAGCATCAATCCATGAATTAGAATCGAATGTGTTGATTATCCCTAACAGTACCATACTTGGACTCGATTGCAGTATTATAAGTATCCTGTGGAAAAAAATATATATATATCTTACTAACTATATGAACAAACTATGAAGTACATGAACTCTAATTGTACTTACATGAACTCGCTTGGATTTTTTATCAACAAAATGGCGAAGTCCTTGATTCTTCCAGTGAGTATGACTGAAAAACTCTAATTGGGACATTGGACTATCCATATCCTTCTCCTAAAATATGCAACTCATTAATTACAATCGATTAAAAATACACATGAACTTTAAAACATAAAATAAAAATAGTATGAAAAAAATATACCAATCTCTTATTAGTAATCACAAAGGAGATTGAACTAGCAGTATGCTTCTACATTTTACCATCATGTCCTTGTGCAAGACGATTTTCCTTGGCAATCTTCGCATTTTTTTTTCCATTTTTTAGTATTCCAAAAATTCACAAGACTATCCTAATGCTCTGCTCTTATCCAACGTGGGCCATGTCCTTTCCAATGAGCAGGATTACGCTTTGCTTTCTCGCGAGCATCATTCATCATATCTCTATATCTATCCTTCGCTGTGACCTTCTATGTGTCATACACATCGATAGTGTTCGCAGTCGGCCATACATATTTATCCTTATATATAAATAAAAAATCCATTCATGGACCAAATGAATTTAAAAAATTTTCAAATATAATAAATAATAATTACCATAAATCGATCCCATAAACCATCTCTTATAGATTGTGGCATTGAGCAAAATGTGGGATATGGACCATCAAAATACGCTTTCATGGTTGCGGTGATGTCACGGGGTATGAAAGTTTCACCAAAACTATATAAATAATAGAAAAAAACATGATTAAGAAAAAGTCGATGAGTTACACAACCATATAAGAAACATGAAATCTTTAAATGTTATCTTCTTTAACCATAGAAAATATGTTTATCTTCTTTAAAAAACATCAATGTAATAAATGTTATCATATTTAACGACAAGTTACTATATTTTAAATAAAAGAAGAAAATACAACTTATAAAAGAAAGAGGGCAATATAAAGCACATTGATTGGTTTAAGAATCAAAATAACATATGACGAGTTTACATATGTTTTGAAAATTGCTAGTGTGAGATATGGCAGCTTCATCTCTTTGTTTCTCTCCACATTAATCCCTATGTCTTAGCTTTTTGAGTCTCAACATCAACATGCCTCAACTTCAGTGCATTACTCACTAATCATGAAAGAATTCATAAAATATTCATGCCCTCTCATAACAACTATTTAACTTGATTTTCTTCATAAATTAGTACTCGTTCTATTTGTCATTTTACTTGTGATTTGAGGTCGAAACATCTCACCATGTGTAAATATAAATATTAGCTGTTAAAACAAACAAACAATAAATATATCATCTTTTTTCACCATCACATAATAATTAGTTTCATTTGTTTAACATTTAACAAAGTTCTTCTCCCATTACAAATACTAACATGTATGTTTCTAAATATATAAAATCAATTGAAAATAAATGTATACTTACGTGCTATTTGTAATAGTTATTTCGTTACGTTGTAATCGATGAGCAGGCATAGGAATACCACGATTAGGACCCTGGTCCTATTTCTAGCTTTGGGCAAATCATCTGCTTGCTCACCTCCCAACTCATCGTTGAGAGTACTAGGATCATAATGTTCATTATTACTCTGTATAGACCTTGTACCACCCCCCACGTCTTGATTTACGCTGCCTTGCTTGACTAGATGTACTTCCTCCTCTAGTTAGCAACATCCTACATGCTAAGTAAATTGATTTGATATTATCGAAGTTTGCGCTTACATTTGTATTTGATCAATCTTTTAGTTTTTGTATATTCAAAGAACAATGTTTTAGTTTATAAACAATGATTGTAGTCAATTAAAAGTGTGAAGAGAAGCAACTTGTAGCTAATAAAATCTCATCCATGGTTTTAATTAAGATAAAAGAAATTGTACAGGCAAGAATGCTTCCCCATCATCATTCCTTGTTGGTTAAATTATTTCCTTTAGTCAGTCCAGTTTTGTCCTTATATCTTACTAAGCGACATCAAGTACATTTGAAAGATGGATAATTAAATATACCTGTCACCTTTGGGCCTATTAGATCCAGACATATTTTCTTGATAAAGTTCATCATCCATGTGCTCATCTTCGACCTCCCATAATAAATTCATTTGTAAGAAAACCCTTATCCACTCATCGCCACATGCCCACATCCAACTTCGATCCGATGACATACTGCTAATAACTAAAAGTAAATAATTAGACATGATATTGAAGTATCGCAAAACTAAAATAAAAGAATAAGCTTTGCCAAGCATATTTTAAGTAGTAAAACATATATAGTCAATTAGATAGTAGTAGATTTCAGTCTGTACGTCTTTACATGAACAAATATACTAAGAAAAAGCTTCTATACATAACATGACAAAGTAAAAATTGTGATGGCAACAAATAGCTAATTTGTCCACTTCAAATTTGAAAATAGAAAAATAATATGAATGTTTCATTCAAAATATTCCCTTCCAGTATTACTTTTTTTTTTTTAGAGTGAAATTACGTAGTAAATCATTAACAAGAGCTTCAAAATTCAGTATCTAAGAAAAAAACCTAATTTCAAGACAATATGTGTGCCAACGCTTCATATGTTCCAATACGATGCCCAAAAAATCAAATAATCAGTTGAAGCAAAACCAATCATGAAAAGGAAAAACACCTCATAGAGGAATAAGCGCATATATTTATAACTGAAGAGAATCAACCAGTAGAAAGCCCTAGACAATTGTTGTTCAGGATTCAATCAATGGAATGTTTGCATTGAGTTTTTGGCCACCCTTTTTCTGTATAGACTAATCAATAAAAGTAGATTTACAAAAGCAATGATAACAATTTGAATATTTGTAAATCTACGGCAAATATTGAAGGAAAATCGAAAAACAAAGGAGGGAAAACATAGCGGTAAAAATGAGATCAAAAATAAGGGAAAAAAGAATTCTCAACAAGAATAGGTACATATTTCACAATCAATTGGCATATACCTCTGCTGATATGTGGTTGAATTTCAATAAACATGAAAATTCACTCGAGAAAAGGGCAAAAGACATGGATAAAATTTGGGTAAAGTTAAGGCTAATAAATAATATCAATGGGCTGGTTGGGACAGCTGCTGCTTCAGGTAGGATTGCACCTTAGGCAGGCGCGGAGCCAGCACCCGGCGAGGGGGCGCGGCCGCGCGTGTTGGCTTCGCCGGAATCTTCAAAGTCGCCGGGGAAGGAGTTGCAGTCTTGCAAAACCGCCTGGTCACTGGTCAGTGTGCTGCAGCCATTGGAGAAGAAGGAAGAAGGAAGATGAAGGAGCCGGCCCTTTTTTTTTCCTTTTTTTTTTTTTGGTTTGGGCTTTTGTAAATATTAAATTTTGGGCCTATTATTATTTAATTTATTTAGCCCAAAAGAATTAATCCAACATATGGCCTTGAACCTGTTACCCATTTCATTTGGCCATTTCCTTTACATTTTCAATCGCCAGCAGACGAGCTCAAACAACGGCTCTCAGATCCATTCCAACTTAATTACAGAAAATGATTTTAAAAAATCTTTCTTTGATGAAAAAAATAACGGTAGAAGCCCCAGTCCTAAATGCTAATTTCTTATTGATGGTGATTATAAATCAATAAAGACACTGAATCAAAGATTTAAAGAAACCCAATAAAAATCTACATATTGACATAGAAAAGGTCAAAAATCTTAGACTACGGGGAGGATAGACCTAAAATTTATAAAATCAAGGTTTTGTTTTTGGTTTGACGGAAAAATCTTTATTTATTCATTGTACGTTTACGGGTGTAAGTATGAAGTGCAGAGACTAATGGGTTATGAAGTGGAACCAGGAGGGAATTTGAGACAGTCTAACGAAATCTGCGGTATAAATTCTGGAGGCTCTGTGTAGGAAATTGTAGAGAGAGAGGTGGAGAAAAATTCAGGTGGCTTTGAGCATTCACTAGTGGGGTGTGGTGGAAAAGTGTTGTGCTACAACTTCTGTTAAATTTTTTCTATACTCATTGACTTTATTAGAATGGAAAAAATGTCAATTAAAAATAAGTTTGGATAAGCTTAGAATGTTTATTATAAGTTTTGAAAATAATTTCGTCAATTGGTATTTGGTAGAAGTGAAGTTTGATTGGTTTGTGTATGCTTAAAAGTAAGGGAAAATTGCAATTGAGGTATCAAATTTTTAGTTTGTTAGCAAACTTGACCTAACCCTTTCTTTTGTACCAATCACGATATCAAACCTTTTAAAAACTTGTTGTTGAAGTCCAAATGGATGGAAACTATTAATTTGACCGTTAGTTGGCCAAAGAATTAATATTGACCATTATTTTGACTAATTTTAAAAGGATAAGATGATAACTTTACATTTTTCAATTGAAAACGAAGATGTTCCACTCCATCCCATTCTTTCCTAACTCTTTATCCCAAAACTACCACTAATACCAGTGGTCGCACCCACCCAATGCCGATGTCACAAAATAAGAGTCAATCTCCAATAAGAATATCAATGAAAATAAGGGAAAAAAGAATTCTCAACAAGAATAGGTACATATTTCACAATCAATTGGCATATACCTCTGCTGATATGTGGTTGAATTTCAATAAACATGAAAACTCACTCGAGAAAAGGGCAAAAGACATGGATAAAATTTGGGTAAAGTTAAGGCTAATAAATAATATCAATGGCCTGGTTGGGACAGCTGCTGCTTCAGGTAGGATTGCACCTTAGGCCACTCCCAGAATGATATTAAACAAGTCCAAAAGCATTTTCTTAATCTTAAAGGCAAGTTTTTACTTTTCAAAAATCACGCCAAACGAACCCTAAACACATGACCGGCCATTGTATTGACAAATAATCTTAGCTGCAGAACACTAAAGCATTACAGATGTGCAAAAACCAAATATTTCATTGTGTTAACCAATGCCTTCAAAATAATAAGCATAATTTACACAAATCAAATCGTCAAATTTTGTGAACGTAAGCATCTATTTCTATTTGGCATACTTTCCTATCCTTTTATTTTTTTATTTTTATTTTTTTAGTATAGGCCAGAGAGATTCGATATATTTTTATTTTTTTTTACCACAAGCAAACATAATCACGAGAATAAATCCAACCTTTGATTTTAATCATCCAATGGGTTCATAAAACTGTGATCAAATCAAGTGGGTATGCAACGTACTCAAAAAGATGAAATCCAATCCACAATTCTATATTATTCTAAGAAGCCAAAAATTAGAAACACCAACAAATCTTTAAGAATCAAAAAAAATATTTGGAAACCAGAACATAGATAACCTCAAAAACTCATGTCTCGGAATCTTATACAAAAATAAAAAATCAAAATCAAACACAATAAAAAAAAAGGCCATAATTACAATGATGCTGCTAACTTGCCTTAAAATTTTAATTGTGGAAACAAAGAGAGGCAAAGAAGAAAGGCGTGAAAACAAGGAGAAGATGAAGGTGAAAATCTCGTTAGGAATATGCATCTACGTGGAAGAAGGGACAAATGGATGAATTTGCTGGTGATATTGAGAGAAGAGACGGTCAAATTCTTGGAGAGGCAAATAGAATTATTTTGCAATTTGTGAGAGGTGATTTGAAAGATGGGGAATTTGGCCAGATGACCCACTTGGACAATGATTTTGGACAAATAGTCTTTGACCATCATTAAAATGGAATAAAAAAATTTAAAATGTTTTAATTGATAAAATGACAAAATTGTCCTTCAATTTATATCAAATTATTCACCCAACTTCTTTCATTTCACCTTCTTCTTTCTTCTTCCCTTTTCCTGTGAAACCCTATTCCCCAAACTTGAATTCCAAACCCATCTTCTTCACCTTAATTTTCACTATATTTCAATATTACAAAAAACTTTTCTTTGACTCTAGTTTATTTCACATTACTTTACCCTCTCTTTGGTATAAGTTAAGACAACAAAAAAGGTAATTTTTTCTACGATTTTTTTTTCTTTTTTGTTATTTTAAAATGTGATTTTGTGCTTCCATTACTATAGTTTTATAATAAAAATTTGTGAAAATTGCATTTTTTTTATGATTTCGTGATTTATTTGTATATTTAGTTTAGTTTTAGCTGAGTTTTTTTAATGTGAATGGATTTTTGATACATTTGGGGTTTTGAAGATGATGGGTTAAAAAAAATTCATTTACTGGCATTGCTATAAATCGAAATTGTGATATGTAAATGTACTTGTTCTTTAATATGCCTTGAAACTTAGAGACTTGCATTAAGAATAATTTGATTTAAATAATTCGGCATTTTTAGGAAAATTCTTTATATAATGTTTTACTGTAATTCCTATTTTATGTGAGTTCTATTATTAAACTTTACACTTGTTGATTTCAGAATTTTTTCATATTATATTTTGCCTATTTTTACCACAGTACCCTTATTTGTAGATTGGAACTTCACCTACTAAATAATGTATATAAGTTTGCAATTTAAAAGGTTGTGTTTCCCCTTGACTTTATTGAATCATTTTATTCTTTAGTTGCGTAAACGTTGTATCATTACGCCTACATTGATTATTACTTGATTTGACTTTGATTTACCTGTTGTTCCAAGAAAGAGAACTAGCATTGAAATCGTTTAAAAGAGAAAACACACTAATTTTGGTTGTGACAGATATGGCAGGTCATGGCCTTGATATTCCCTACATTGCTCACGTATCAACAAAGCCACCAGCTGATTTGATAAGCCAATCAAGAGGTACCCATTGGCTGATTTGGTTTACAAGTCGAGCTCCATATAGAGGTAAAAGTAGACGTGGTGTGGGCATTTTGGTGGTCGTGATTTTAGAAGTGATAACTCTTATACTCGGAGTGGGGAAAGCACATATTAGTACAGTGGTAGTGGTTGAAATAATGTTAATTATAGTGGTGGGGGGTATGATTCTAGTGTAACTAGAGCTTAGGATTAGCGTTTTACAGTACCCCTCAAAATTATTTTGTTTCAAGGTATATATATTTCTCACTCGAGTTTGAGAATTTTGATATTTTGAAGAATGTAAAAAACTTGTAGATTACATTTGAAAATGCGCATATCAATAGGATGACTTTATTCCAGGGGATGAATTTTTTTCTGTAGGATATGTTTGTCTTTTGTTAAATATTGACGTGTATCTTTATTGTGTTATGTCTCAAAAAAAGACATAAGTGTCATTTCTGGACTTATAAGTGTATATGAGAACGGCACAAGTGACATTGCATAAATTATAAACTTTCATTAAAACAATACAAGTGTTGTTGTTGGACTTATATAAGTATCTATGAGGGTGGAACAAATGTCGTTACAAGCAAATGGGTTAACTTAGTTCAATACTCCATATTCTATGTCACATGATCTAGTTTTCTTGCATAATTTAGAGATCTAGTGCTTGAGGATGAAAGGTCATTGAGAACGATACTTGTGTCGTTACTAAAATGAAAAGTTCTAAGAGAATGGCACAAGTGTTGTTTAGAGGATGAAAAAGTCATTGAGAACGACACTTGTGTCGTTACTGATCTTGAAAAGATATAAAGAAC